AAGTGCCGAGAAGCTAGGAATCCGACGTACTTTCCGGTTCTACCACGACAACGACCAGGACAAAAGCCAAGCATAAGTCCGGATTAGTACACTCCTGGCATATCTGGAACTGCCCCCACACGATAATTCCACAGGCCCAGTCTCCAGATTTAAATGCTATTTAAAATTTGTGGGCTCTGCTGGAAAATAACATCAGGAATCACAGATCCGATCTCAAAAATGCTCTGCTGGATGAGTGGAGCAAAATCAGTCCAGAAACGACCCGGAAGCTGGTATCTTCCATGAACAATAGGTTAAGGGGAGTTATTAAGGCTAAAGGATATCATACTAAGTATTAACATCCTTATTTAAGTTTTTATACGCCAAATATGTTACTTTTCTCTAGACTGTTGAAATAAGCTTTGACCTGTATTTTGGATAAGTTTTCAGTTTTTGACTAATTTTAGTTAATTAATTAATATTTTAATGAAAACTGAAGTTTCCTTTTCAAACGTGATATAACATAAAACAAATTGACATTTAAACATTTTGCGTTTGTTTCTTTGTTTAAACTTTATAGCACTTTAAAATTTTTGCTAGATACTGCCGTAATAAGCTGCGAGACACTGTATATCAGCTGCTGCTGCTGCGTGGGCTGTTAACTCCTTTTTTGTGCGCGCTGTTGCTGCTGTTGTTGTTGTTGTGCTTGCGGCTTACGTTTTCCATGTTAATGATATGCAAACACAAATGCAAACACACACACACAGATGCCGAGAAGTCAAAAGAGAGCGAGAAAAGAACAACAACAACAAAACATAGACAACGGCACATGCACAGGAAATACGCGTCATGTACGAGAACCTAAAAAAAAGGCAAGCTAGCAGAGAGAGAGCGAGCGAGAGAGGAAGTAACTGAAATCAAAAACAAAAATTTGCGCGCAATTTGCGTCAATGAATAAGGCCACACATTGACATGGAGCAGAAGAGGGGGGAGCGATGAGTAAATGTGTGTGTGCTGCTGCCATTTTTTGCAATTAAAACACAAAAATAAACTTGAATGCGCAGTAAACAATTCAAGTGTAAATTATAAAGAAGTGGAAAAAAGTAAGAATAAACATTCACACACACATGTACATATGCCATATGCCTCATCCTGTGAACAAAGAAAATTGCAGTTAATATTAAAACTAAAAATACGCACACCAAAGATATACAGGAAGAGAGAGAGAGAGAGAGCGAGAGAGCGAGAGAGTGCGAATAAAATCCGCAGTGGGACAACGAAAACAAAAATTGTAAAAACCAATAAGGCAGCAGTAAAAAGCAAGCACACCACGCACGCAAGAAAGAGCGTAAAGGAGAGAGAGAGAGAGAGAGGGGGAGGGAGATACAACTTGTCGTAAACAAACCGCAAAATGAAACAAGCTTAAGTCGAACATATGAAACACAGCCAAAGCAACAACGACAATGAAGAGCGGCAACAACGCATGATTATTGACATTGCGTTACCCTTCTTGCAGGCAGGCGGCAGGCAGGCAGCGACGTCGGCAGTTCAGTTCAATCTGCTTGTTTGGCTCTCGTCTTGAAACTGCCGGCCTGGCCTGGCCTGGGTCTGGTCTCTGCATGTTGTTTACCTCAGCAGAAACTCAAATTCAAGCAAAGCAAACGGCAGCAGCAGCAGCAGCAGCAGCAACAAACAACAACAACAGCCAGCAGCAGCCCTCAACTTTGCTGCTAGCAGCGCTGCCTCTGCCTCTGTTGCCTACTCAACTTCATGCCGCGTCGCGACGCGTCGCTTATCGCTGTCTTCTTTTCTTCAATTTTGTCTGCTGCCTACCCAACACTGATACGCACACATACATACACATTTTATGCTCGTTGGCTGCTGTTGTTGTTATTCTTATTTCACCGCCTGCACACAACACACACACACACGTATTATTATGCTATGCTCGCTCACTCGCTCTCTTACAACGTGCTCTTTCGCTCTGTGGCTGCAGCAAATGTTTTTGCTTTTGGTTTATTTGGCGGCAACCCTTTGGGTTTTGTTACAATTGCCTTTGCATTATGTTGTCTTGGCATGTAAAAATGCACTAATTGGATTTTCCTTTTATATGCTACATGTATAATTGATCCACAGACTCTCTCTCATTCTATCGCTCTCACTCACTCTTTTATTTACTCTCTCTCTCTCTTAAGCTCGCTCTCTTTGACTGACAGTTGCAGCGTGATCTTGTTTATGTACATGCACATCTACACACATACACATACACATGTGCATGTACTTGCGCATGTGTGTGTGTGTGTGCAATTAAGCTTTTTGTAATTAGCTCGTGTGTGTTTATAAAACGATTCCATTATTGCAATTTGTGCTGATTATTTATTGGTGATGATTTTCAATTGAACTTAGATTAGAGCGCGATTCAAGCTGTAAAATTACAGTACATGTGAGTTTATATATAGGTTTGTGTGTGTGTTGAGCAAAAGCGTTGACATTTGTAAGCCATTAAGAAAAAAAGCGCTGTTGATAACATTTTGACATTAACACCAACGACGACGTTGACAGCGACGCCTTCTGTTGCGTCGTTGACGATTTCGGCGTCAATGAGCGCGACACCAGCCAGCGAAGGTGAGAAGAGGATAGCAAGAGCAAGAACACGAGCAAGTAGCAAAGTGCAAGCAGCAACAACTGCTTATTAAGTAGTAAATGCAAGGCGAGTGTGAATGCGAACAGACAAATGTGCATTCGAACACACGCATGCACATACACACATGCACGCATATCGATACATATATGCGATCGTGCGACAGAGATAGCTGCATGCAGTAACTGGAAAAGGTGTGTGTGGAATGAGAACGAATTTGTGTCGAGCTGTAGTTAAAAAAAAAAAAAATTTTTTTTTGTTTTTAATTCTAGACGTATTTTTCTATTATGCTCATCTTTCTAATTGCTTTTTATGAAGAATTTTTGATTTTCAAGGTTGTGGAATTGAAACAATTGATGATTCTAATTTTAAGTCAACAGAAGCACAAAGACTAAAATGAATGAGTGACGTCATGGCACGTTTAACAGCTGACCAAATGAGATACTCCCAAAATAAAATGAAAACCCAAAATATTGACAATATCTTGTCGTCTTTGTCGATATGCGTTTCGGAATTGGCCAAAAAAGAAAAGCCTTCCCGGAAATCTATAAATAAAGAGATATTTAAGTGTATGTGTGTGTGTGTGTGTTAACAGCCCATTTAACGCAGCACGTGAAGATGAGCCAAAGATGAGCTGAGACCGCATTTAATGCGCCTGGTCACCTTTAACTAATAAACACACTCTCAACTCTCGCTCTCTCTCTCTCTCTGTCAATGTCACGCACACATGCCAATAATGTTAATGAGCGCAAAATGCGTAAACGAGCCAAAAACAAAACTAGAGCCAAGTGCGTTTGTGTGTGTGTTTCTGTGTGTGTGTGTGGAAAGCAGCAGGCGGCAATTGCTCAGCAACAGCATCTCCCCACCTCAAAATGTGTATGTGTTTTTTTGTTTGCTTGCACTGTCTGTCCACTTACACACAAACTCACACACAAACACACACACAAACACACACACAAACACACACACAAACACACACACAAACACACACAAACATACACACACAGAAATCATTATATTATCCTGCACACTCCAAAAAAGCTCTCGCTCTCTCGCTCACTCCTTTGGACACTCAGTCAAGCTCTTCATCAGTTTACTGGGCACGTTCTTAAAATGTGTTTTTTTTTATTTGGTGAGGACAACAACAACAGCAACAAAAAGAAGAAGAGGAAGATGGAGCAGAGCCATAACCACAACTAAGCCAATTTTGGCAAAAACAAGTGACAAACAGTCGGACAGACAGATACGCAGGAGGAGGGGAACGGAACGGAATGGGGTGAGACTGGACCGGAACGAGATAAACAAGACAACAGACAACTAGTGGTAAATTCGCAACGAAAGAGGCCAATGCATTATTTATGCGTTGCGTGTGTGTGTGTGTGTGTGTGCTTGCACACATTTTGGGCCAATAAGTCACATAAAGTGTGTTGTACAGCAAACAGCAAACAGCAAACAGCAAACAGCAACAGCAAACAGCAATTGGCAAGAACTGCATTTTCCATCACACTTTGGCAAACGATCAACAGAAGCAGATAAAGAAGAACATCGAACAGAAGCAGCAGAAGATTAGTTGCTTATGGGCAATGGCATTCATCACACACACACATGCAGAGACAGACGTTTTTAATGTCTTTTTACAGCAGCAGCTTGTTTCGCTCTTCATTTTCATCGTTTCATCAACGACAACAACAGCAAAGACGGAATACAAATTGCAAGCGTTGCCAGACACAAATGTTTTCATTTCATTCGCACACACACACTATGTATTTGTATGTGTGTGCGTATTGATTAGTTTGCAATAAAGTTGAGCAGACATTTCTCGTCTTACTTTGAATTTTAAGCTGCAAATTCTAACAGTGAGTGACAGAGAGAGTGTGAGATAGAAAAACAATGTGGAAAAACCTCAAGCCGCAAATAACAACAAATGAATCGACTGCAATTGCCTGGTGCGAAATAGGTGGACCACTTTTGAGGTTAGAACATTATCTTTTGCAAAATGTGATAAAAGTTTTAAACCAACAATCTAAATTGAGCATTAAGTATTTTGAAATCTATTATTTTAATTTAATTCGATTATTTTCAGTGCTTCACATCCAACACTTAATATTCAAAATGAATAACGACCAAAATTGAAATGGAAATTGTTCGCTTCAGTTTCAATTTAAATACTTAAAAAATCGTTTAAATATGTGCAAAGAAAAACAAAACAGCAGACGATCAATGCAAAAAATAAAAATCAAAGTAAAAGGAAATTATTTAACGGTAATTGATCAAGATCAGCAATTTGAGCAATTTCGTTCCACACCCATTTTATTCCCATTGTTTGCTTATAGATGATATGTTCCATTTCCACTTAAATCCCATTCCATTTATCACTTACCTCATCAGCTGCTTGGGTGGCGGCCACCAGCAGAATTAACAGCAACGCTGACACCAACATCCATTTACCGTTGCTAGACGATGACGTCGACGCCAGTAGCGCAGTTTTCAGCTTTGATTTCATTTTCGTTGCGTGGGCGTTGCGAAGAAGAAGCAGTAGTTATTGATGTTTTTGTTTGGTTGAACAGAAAAATGAACAACTGAATCCAAATTTCTTGTTGTTTATTGATCGACGAATGGTGGCAGCATAAAGAGCTCAGCTTCTTAATATTTTCTTTTTTTGTAAATTTTTATTTTTATTTTGTAAATGCAATACAAAATTGGGTTACACTAAAAATGCGCTGCGGAAATAAACAAATACGATTTAATTGACACACGTGATTAAACTGCTTAAACAGACACTCAAACACTTTATTAACATTAATAATTTTTTTTCATTTTTTCGCAATCGCGATTTATCAATTTAATTTCAAACAATACGCGTACAAAAACAAATCAATTGCGATCGGCTTGTGTGTGTGTATGCGAGAGCGAGATAGAGATAAATAACAGACATTTTACATTTACATTTAATTTTTGATAATGAACAGAAATTTTTAGTTGCGCGCGCGGCTAAAATCAAAGCAACTATCGATGATGATAGAGGCGTGAGGGAGGGAGTGGGACAGACAGAGAATGAGTGAGGTGAGGTGAGCCGTGAGCAGTGAGCAAAGCAGAGTGCAAAAGAGAATAAACAACAAGATTACAGAGCAGAGCAGCTGAGAGACAAGCAGCAAAACAAAAATGATAAAATGAGATAGTGGAGCGACAAGAGAAGAGCGCAACCAAAAAGGTGCTTGTGTAAATGTCTCTCAGTGTGAGTGTGTGTATGAAAATGAGTTTGTGTTGGTCTGACACGCTCTGCATGCGTGTGTGTGTGGTGTGTGGGCTGACAGTGTTGGTGAGCGTAGCACAAAATTACATTTACAAACAGCATCAATAAAAATAAAATTATTATTTATTAGTTTTGCATTAGAAAAATGTGTAAAATGAAAATGAATTTTACACTCGCATTTGCCTCAACTTGATTTTCCGCCCACAACTAACTACACACTAACACACACACACTCAAGCACATCTACTCTCATCACACACACACACACAAAACGGTGGCGGCTTCTTTATGTTTTTCTATTTTTTTTTTTTACGTTTGGGTTTTGCGTCAGCACACGAATTTTGTTGTATTTTCGCCGCTATTTGTACACGCTGCGCTTGAGAGCACCTTATTTATTTAATTGCACGTCGATTGGCGCATTATTTATTGCAATTACAACAAATTCGTTGTAATAAATTGTTAAATTTCTTTACACTTGAACTGGCAACGCGCGCTACTCCCGCGTCCGATAGCTTCGACGGTTTAATTTCGACTAATGTTAAGCAGCTATGTTAACTAACAGCGACTGTAGCTGCCAGGCTGACCATATGCTATACTCTTGGCTCTCACAAAGTGACACAAAAAAATACCAAAATTTGATATGAGCGCTCAGACCACTCACATATTTGGTATTTATGCGGTATGTGCAATACAGTCACATTCAGCTCCACTCATTTCGAACATATTTTGCAAAAGGAGAATTTGTACAAAAAGAATTGGATAAATAAGGTAATTCTGTTAATTTACGACCGAAAACGGTAGGGCAGGGTAAACGCTGATAAGGCAATTGACTGACAGTTCAGCTGCCCAACGCCTTTCAATAAGCCAATGAATCATTATTTGCTTTGTTGTCTTACTTTTTGCGTCGCTTGTGAAACGTTCGTTCTCCCTCTGCCCATCCCTCCCACCGTAGCCCCCTCTACGCCTCTACCAACCCATGACAGCCTCTGCACACACACACACAGTGAAAATATTTTTTTTTCGGGTAAAGAAAGCAAGCTGCTCTTCTCAATTCGCTTGTTACGTGTTTCGTTGCAGGCTTAAATGCAAGCCGCTTAGTCAAAATGGATCTGGTGGACATCGATCAGGTCCTGGACAATCTGGAAGCAGAGCTAAAAGGTGCGAGCAACAGCATACAACTAACGGTATATTTAACAGTTGTTTTTTTTTCTCCTCTTTTTTCTTAATTTTCTTTTTAGCGGATGAGCAACAGAGCCGCAATGCAGCCGCAACAGCAGCAGCAGCAGTTGCAGTCGCAGCAGCAGCCGCGAGTGTTGCAGCTGTGAATGTGGGCGCTGGGGAGACACGCCCACTGGGCGATGGCAGCGCTGGCGCAGCCAAAAATTTTGTTGCCGTCTCTCAGGTGTTCAACAGCCTCAACGATTATCGCAACAATGTAAAATCACTCGAAACGGAGCTGGAAACCAGGGAAAGCTACGACTGGAAGCAGACAGCTGATGAGCAGCAGCAGCAGCATTCCAGGCAGCTGGAAGTTGTCGACGATAATGATGATGAAGAAGATGATGAAGTGGTCGATGACGATGATGATGTTGATGTTGATGATGATGATGATGATGATGCGCACGAGGACATTAAAAAGTACAGCGAAGCGCAGGCAAAGCAAACGAGCAACAATAACAAATCTGGCGAGGAGCTAACGGTATCCTCCTCCGAATCATTAACCACCTCCTCGTGCTCCACCTTCTCCTCGGGTCCCTCTCCGGGCAACATAACCAACTCCGAGGAGGAGGAGGAGGAGCAGCAACAACAGCAGCAGCAGCTGCCCAAAGCAAATAATGGGGGAGAGCAGCAGGCGCAGGAGCAGGAGCCGCTAGTGGAATCGATTGCTGTGGAGGATTTGGCATTGGGTCTATCCTCCATATCGATAACCACAACGACAACAACAACATCAGCCTCACCATCCATTTTGCCAGGCGAAGTCACAGCCAGCTCAGCTCTGGGCAAGGTGCTCAACGAGCTCTCAGCGGAGACGAGCACCGAACTGGACATGCCCAGTCAACAGGCAGCCAAAAAGAATCATCTCCATGATGCAGATGATGATCTGGATACGAATAATTCACCAGTGGTGAGCTAAGCAATTATTTATTTTAATATAAAAAATACAAAAAGTAAAAGTAAAAAAGAAGAATCTTTGAATCTGCATGGATTACAGATCATCCATATATATATATATTTATTTATTTATTTATATATCAATCGGGATAAGTTTGGTTAATCTTTCTGCTCATTTCAGGAGCCGGCGCCAACGTTGGATGCAGCTTTGGGGCAACAACAACAGCAGCAGTTGCAGCCGCAGTTGCAGCAGCAGCAGCAGCGGGCGGGCGAGGAGGAGGAGTCACAGGATGTGGCGCCAAAGCGCAGTCAACCTTTAACCTTCTGCTCGACCATGGACGAAATCTCGGACACGGAACTGGACAGCATGCTGCAGGAAGTGGAGGCGGACATTGAAGAGGAGCAGCACATGGAGCAGCCAGCTGTGGCAACAACTCCAGCTGCTGCAACCAGCTCGAACACGAACTACATCCACCAGGACATGATTAAAATTGAGAATGTTGATGAGCCTGATGTCGACGATGAGCATGCTGTGCTTGAGGATGAGGATGAGGATGCTGACACTGGTGCCACGGCATCGCCCGCAACGGAGGAGGAATCGGTGCGCATCTTGTCCGAGCAGGAGACCACATCAGCGGATCCTATGAATGTGGACAACTTCTCGCAGGCATCCACTGTGGAATTTGCCGAGCTGCGAGCACACGAAACGGCGGCGCCGGAGGAGGAGCAGGAAGGATTGGCCTCACCGTTCAGTAGCAGTGCCAGCGATACTGATTCGCTATCTGGGCGCAAACTGGAGGAGGAGGAGGTGGAGGTGGAGGAGGGAGTGGTGCAGCTGGAGGAGCAGGAGATCATTGGTCCCGATACCGAGCAGCGACCACAGCGTCCACAGACCCTAGATCTGAATGGCGGCGGCTTTCAAACGAATGCGGGACAAACACCTCCGCCACCAACGGCGGATCAGGATCAAGATCAGTCACAGCAGCTGCAACAGCAGCAGCAGCAGCTGGCGGCAGGCGGAGAGGGTGCAGAGGTGGGTGCAGCGGAGGAGAATGGCGACGACGGCGAGGCCGATGAGAGTCCCATCTATGAGGCGGTTGGCTACAGCGATCCGCATGCCAATCTGGGCAAGGTGCCACCGATCTGGGTGCCCGACAACATGGCCACGCAGTGCATGCAGTGCCAGCAGAAGTTCACCATGATCAAGCGGCGCCACCATTGTCGCGCCTGCGGCAAAGTGCTCTGCTCCGTCTGCTGCTCGCAGCGATTCCATCTGGAGTTCGCCAACGAGCCCGAGTCGCGCGTCTGTGTCCAATGCTTCATGATACTCAGCGTACGCCAGACGGCCGCCAATGGCATCGGCGCTGGCAGTGGCGCTGGCAGCGGCGCTGGCGGCGATGCTTGCATCTCGGACATCTATGCCGGTGCCCAGCCAGCTGTGTTGCCGCCGACGCCGATGCGCACTCCAAATCCGAACAATCCGATGGAGTATTGCTCAACGATACCGCCACATCGTCAGGTGGCGGATGCCGCAGCTGCTCCGACGCCGAGCGTCATTGTGCCCGTCGGTGTGCTGAAGAAGACGGATGGCAGCTCCTCGAACTCGTCCAGCTCCGATGGCAAGAAGGGTCGCAAGCGCAAGAGTGTCATGTTCAGCGATGGCATCGCACCCGGCAGCGAACTGGCCAGCACCATGGAGCAGCAGTGGGGCGAGGCCAAGCAGCCGCGTCGCGGTGTCCAGCGCAGCAGCAACAGCAGCGGCTCCTCCCAGAAGCCGCCCACTCCCGGCGCCTCCTCCAGTGGCAGTGGCAGTGGCAGTGGCAATGGAGGCGCCAGCAGCGGCAGCAGTATTGATACCAACACCACCTTGGGCCTGGTCGCCCAGCTGTTCCGTGGCTCCATACCGCCCACGGCAGCGGCAGCAACGCTCCAGGCAGCCACAGCGGGCAGCCAAGAGTCAAGCGGTAAGCCAAGGAAATCATTTCGAATTTTTTATGCTAGAATGACACTTGCTTAAAGTGGGGAATGAAAAGAAAACTTCAATTTCAATTTCAACTTTAATTTATTTTAATTTAATTTTCCATTTTTTCATATAGACAGATTTAAGATATTTATAAAAGCTTCAGCTTGATAAATTAATTCGTTTACAAAAGTTGAATAGATGATTTTTAATAATATATTAATATTTATTACAAAATAAATAATGAATTAATAATTAAATGTTGATTAGAATTTCAGTTTAATTGCATTACTTTTTCTATGCCTTAATTTATATTAGACTGAATAAGATATTTATTTAATTTGTTTTATGTGTTTAAAATGTCATCAAATTTTAATCAGCGAATTGGTTCGCATCAGTTTAAAGATAAATTCCAAAAATTTTAATTTAAATTTATAAATTTTGTGATTTTTATTAACAATTATCAATTATTTGGCATTTAAAGAATTATCTCTAGAAAATGATTGAAAGAAAATTGAATATCAAGCAAATATCAACTTCGAGTATTTATTAAAATATATAATTAATTTAGTTGACCAATAATATATATATAACATATTAAAACTCTTTAATTTATATAAAATATGTTTAGATTTAAGTTGAATCCTTTGAAAATATCATATTTATTTATTTAAATATTTAATTAATTTCCTTTCAATTATAAGTCATATATCATTAGATTAAAATATAACTATATTCTTTAAGGTATCAGGTCTCATACAAATATCCTTCTGTCATAAGATTTAATTATATATTTACTTGATTTCCTTTTCCATTATCCTTTTACTGATCCCATTCCCTTTGCAATACCAAAAAGTGTTTGTAAATTGACTCAATTTTCAACTCTTTACTTAATTTAATTGATTTCCCTTTCAAATAGTAAATTAGATTTAAAAATACCTTTGGATTATAGTTTCTCGACAATCTGAAGATCTTCTAAGCTAAATTCCATTCAAATATTATTCTAGCGAATCAATTGTATATTTAATCGATGTCCTTTTCCGACTTAACTCTTTTTAGCGCAATTGATTTGCTTTTCCAATAATAAATTATTATTTAAAGTATATCAAATATATTTTAAATATGCTTGAAATAAAGTTCTTGCAAATAACATTCTGGAAAATATTAAATATATATTTACTTGATTTTAGTTACTAAAATACTATTTTAAATTGACTCAACTTAATTATTTTTTAGTCAAATTGAGTTGCTATTCACAACTTAATTTAAACCAATTAATTTATTTAACATATTTTTATAATGCACTTGAAATTGTTCTCTAAAAACTTTAAAGTCAAAATTCATTTAAAGTATATTAAATATAAGATATTTTTAGATTATTTAAAATATGAAATCTGTTTAAATTGAAGTTTTCTACATTCTCCTGACTTTTAAGCTAAATTTAATTTAATTTAATTATATATTTAATTGTAAATTGACTCAGTTAACAATTCTACTTAATTTTTTATTGTAGCTGGTCGCAACACAGCGCAGAGTTCGCCGCGCCACAAAGTGGAGGTGCAACGGTCGCGCAAGTTGCCACCGAGCGATGCACAGGGCTGCTGCATACCCAGCGAGGAGAACTCGCTGCCACCGATCTGTGTCGGCAGTCGCGAGGGCAGTAATCTTAACTGTGATGTGGAGTACAAGGAGGTGCGCAACGATGCGGATCTCATCGAGCGTTTGCAACGCGAAACGCTCAAGTTCATTCTGAAGAACAATTTCTATGTGCTCGTCAAGGTGGTCAACAGTGAGTAGTCAATCACATTTACCATGTCACCTGTCCGACTTTGTTGTTAATCCTCTCATGAAATCACAATTTCAGTGAGTTGCTGCATGAATCGCTGGGTGCTGAACTTCACCACGTCCGGGCTGCATCATGTGGGCAACGATGAGTTGATCATCTTGCTGGAAATCAAGCCACCGCCGGCAGCGGCTGGTGCATCGGTGCCGCGTGATATATTCCAGCATCTGTTCGAGATCTATGTGGAGGCGGAGTGTGCACGCAGCAGCACACAGGAGCTGGCGTTCACCAGTCCGCGGAATGCCAACTTTTTGGGCTCACGGGAGCATGGCGGCTTCATTTACATCCGACCGACGTATCAGTGTCTGCAGGGCGTGATTGTGCCCGAGAATCCGTATCTGGTTGGGGTGCTCATCCATCGGCACGAAGTGCCCTGGGCCAAGGTGTTGCCGTTGCGCCTTATCCTGCGCCTGGGCGCCCAATATCGCTACTATCCATGTCCGCTGATCTCGGTGCGCAATCGTGAGTCCGTCTACGGTGAGATTGCCCAAACGATCATCAATTTCCTGGTCGATTTTCGCAACTATTCGTATTCACTGCCCGCGATACGCGGCCTCTACATCCACATGGAGGAGCGACAGACGACGGTGATAATACCGCGATATCGCCAGAACGATGTCATCAAGGCGATCAACAATGCCACCGATCACATCCTCGCCTTTGCTGGCAACTTCTCCAAAGTGGCCGATGGCCATTTGGTGTGCATGCAGAACACCAACGATGATCGGTCCGAGATGTATGCCTATTCCACGCAGGCAATCAATATACAAGGACAGCCCCGTAAAATAACCGGCGCCAGTTTCTTTGTGCTCAACGAGGCATTGAAGAGCAGCAGCGGCCTATCGGGCAAGTGCAGCATTGTTGAGGACGGCCTCATGGTCCAAATTATGCCCGCCAAAATGGAGGAAGTGCGTCAGGCGTTGCGCAATCAAACCGATATCGAAATTGTCTGCGGTCCCATTGCGGCCAGCGACGAACAGAGCGAAATTGTCAGCATCAAATGGGTGGATACTGATCGGGAAATCAATGTGGGGTAAGCACTGCAACACTTTCCATATTACTCTTAACTTGGCTAACACAACTCTTCCACAAAACAGCGTCAAGTCGCCCATCGATGACAAGCCCATGGATGGTATTGCCAACATGCGTGTGCATGCCAGCTTCAACTATTCCAATACCAATTATGCAATACGCCTCAGCGATATATTCATTGTCAAAGTGAGTAGGATTTGTAGCCACATTCAGGCTGTCAACGATCTAAACGAGTTGGCTTAAAGCTCACAGTTTGTATTAATTATGTGGCAATTGTTTTAAGTGCTGACAAGGCTTGAAGCAGTTTTAGAGAACTTCATTTTATACAACAAATGCTTCCGTTAAACTTAAAGACATTTGTGATAAGTATTGTTTGCTCTTTTTAAGAAGCACACAGCTACTAATTCTTAAACTAATATATATATTATTAAGTTATTACTTAGTAGATTAACTAAATAATCAAGATCACTTAACTTAGATAAGTTTGTCAAATGGGAAAGAGTGCTGCAGGTGCTTGAGATTATTTTAGAGCTTCAAGATAGTTTTGATAATGTAATTGTTTTATTACTTTGTAGTCTAACTAAACAATCAACTTGTGTTATCTGAGCCTTAAGCCATGTTTGTCACATGGCACAAAGTGCTAAAGAGACTTTAATTTGTTTTTGAGAACCTAATTTCATACAACGAAATTAATTTAATTTACTTTAATGAAACCAATTTCTCGCTCTTGTTTATAAAAACCTTGAAAGTTCTTAATTTTTATATTACTTAGTTGATTAAATTTAATTATTGTGCAGAATTAAGCTCACTTGTGTCATCTTCAAGCAAAGTTTGTCAGTTTGAGGCTGGAATTGGTTTTAGAGAACTTAATTTTAAGCAAAGCCAGTTTCTGTTAAGCTTCCAAATAGTTTTGCTGTAAGCATTAATTAATTGAATTTAAATTTGTTATTAATCGTTGATACTTTTCTCATTATTTGTTGTTGTAGTGCGAAGATTGGTATGCCACAAATGGCAACAACTATGCGGATATCACGCGCATCGCAGAGCAGCTGGCGAGAAGTGCTTCGATGGCGCTGCTACCATTTCTCGATCTGCTCGCCGCGGCGGGCACCAACAAGCTGGCACTGCGCGCCACACTCGACCAGGAGAACGTAAGTGCAACGAAACTGACTCAACTCTTCTCAACTGTCAACTGTCAACAATTTTCGCACAATTTCAGGTGTGCTACGAGGCCGGTGCAAGGGGCAGCAAACTGCCGCCGCTTTATATGAATGCACTCGATAATCATCTGATTGCCACGCTGCACGGCGAATCGTCTGGCATTCAGGATCCTATTATATTGGAACTGGTTTTCTACATACTAAACGCCTAAAAGCCTTTGTGCAATTACTGCTGCTGGATCTTTATGGAGCCACTCTCCCCACTCCCCACTATCCCCTACGATCGTAAATTTCTAACCACGCCTAGCTCTGTAAGCCTTCCCCTCTCCACCCCTCTCCTTTACTCCTCAATTAATCGTTATACGTATTCTCCGCTGGCTGGTTTGCAATGGGAGCGGATGATGCTGCAGTTACTGTATATAATTAATTAGTACATGATAAATATATTATCGGTGTTTTTCTATTGTTTGTTTTATCTCATCTCGTTTCTACGCCTCATTCCGCTCCCCTTCACAATGCCGTCGTCGTAAACATTTTGTAATTTTCAATGTTTTTTTTTCTATATAATAATCTCTGACGGCGTTTGGCAGCCCCTGCAATTTTTAAATGTTTATCAATTTGTTTACGATTAGCGAAAAAAGAAAAACTAAAATGCAAACAAAAAAACTTATTTGTAAATGATGTTCTTTATTATATCCGTGTATATTTTCGATTTGAATATAAATAACGACTATATAACTGTTAAAAATCTATACGCATTCATTGGGAAACGAAATTCCAGAAACATTTTTCATTTTTGGGGATAATCAAAAATATTTTAGAAACACTTTTTGCTTTTCTACAAATTGTTGCTTGGACTGAAAACAGAAATTATAACTAAATATATTTAGCAGCTTTTAATAAACTATTTTATCTAGTAATTCCTATTTTGGATAGCAACTGATTCTGTTATTAATCTTATCTTACCCAGTTATTCCGATCATCAAAACACATTTGTTAAATTATTGTGAAAATTGTTTATTAATTTTACTTTTCCACTTGTACACAACTTAAAGAAAATGTTTCAGTTGGCAGACGACACAACACAAATAAGTTACAAACTTTAATATAACAACCTATAAATGTATATAAAAAAGATATAACGCATCCATTGAGCATTCCCAGCATATACAAAAAACTGGGACAATTGAATCGAAGTGGAAGAGAGTTGTTACAAAAATTGCTTAACATCCTATTTATAAATACATATATGTGTATGGGTAATATGTATATACAGATATGAATGATATTGCCAAAAATGATATATTCCACTAATAGCGCCCCCAAAGTGGAGAGGGGGGAGTGAGTTGTAAAGGGGGGCGTCAGTCCACTCGTTCTTTCCAATTTCGGAATATGTGTGTATTTTCTTGTCGTTGTTGTCTGTTAATGTGTCGCATATTGTTGGTTTTTAGATTTGTTTTTGCTTTTGTTTTTTTTCTTCTCTTTTGTATTTATACATAGATAGTTATAGATAGATATAACTTAAGCACTTGTCCTAGTCGAGGCTCTACAGCTCGTCATGCTTCGGACCGGAGAATTCAGCGTGCGAGATGAAACCGTTCTTGTCCTTATCCTCGTGCTGGAAAATCTCCTCGACCAGCTTATCGTTCTCCTGCAGCATGTTCTTCAGCTCATCGGAATCCTGACCCTCCACAGCCGTCATTTGCTTCTTCAGATATTCACTGACCTAAGCCGTTCACAAGCAAAGAGAGGTAAATCGGTTAGGAATATGCATTTTGATGTTGCAAATATGAAGAATATGAGGTGGTTAGTAGCCAAACCGATACCCACGGATATATCACATATATAGAGTGTACAACTAAAACAATACTGATAAATGTGCGATCCATACATAGACGATTACCTCTTCGCGGCTCAGCTGCTTGTCGGCATTCTCATCGATCTCCTTGAACACATTCGTGGTGGGTGGCGCATTGCCAATGTTGATCAGCTCCACGTCGAAGAGCAGCGTTGCCTTGCCCGGAATCACATTGCCAGCACCCTGGTCGCCATAGCCCAAATGGGGCGGAATTGTCAGCTTACGTTTCTCGCCTGCAAACAATAAATTCTATTTAAAAGGCGCTTTTATGGACTCGGAATCATTCTAAACTTACCAACACACATGTCGAGCAGACCCTGGTCCCAGCCTTTGATGACCTGTGAATGCAAAAAATGACGAATTAAATCGAATTTTAATCTAGACTAAATGTAGAAAATGAGAATTGCCTACTTTCTACAAGTTTGCCACTTTTAATCAGATTGTAAAACATTTTATTCTATAAAAGTTTCTATGATTCATAGCTGATAACAATTTTTGTAGCAATTAATTTAACATTTTATTGACTTTAATCTGCTATCGAAATCTGATTAGATGAAATCTGAATTTAGTTTCTCAACTGGACAGTTTAACTCACCTGGCCAGCGCCCAATTGGAATGTGAAGGGTTGGTCCCGGTCGAAGCTGTAAAAAACGCAGAGAGAGAAGAAAGATAAGCGTGAGTTGAGCGATAAAAAAGAGTTGCAGACAAATTGTTGGACGCTTGTTAGTCGCCAAGTTTGAAGTGCAGCTTGTTTTTGGAGAGGTGTGGCATGCAAAGACAGCTAGAGTGTTGTTCACACACACACAACACACACACACACTCAAACAGACTACACATTTATCACACACACACACACACATAGACATTGTCAACGGGCTGCAGTTCGCACATAATCAAGAGTCAAGCCACAAAAAAAAAAAGAAACAAAAAACACATTTTAAAACAATACATCATTTTTTATGTCTGCTTGGGGCTGGGGTTGGGTTTGTTGTTGTTGTTGTTGTTTTTGGCTGCTGTGTTGGGTTTTAAAATGCGCTCAACAAACGCGAAATTATTTGTTTGATGGCCCTGCTTCCGACGCTGCTTAAGTTGAGCGAATTACTTTAATTTGTAACGCACAAATAAAAGACGACATCCCTTAGACTTACATCCCGGCACACCTTATCATAATCAGCTGTTCAGGTATGCATGAAAACAGCCCCGCACCCCGCCAGATATCGGGGAGACTTGAGTATGATGTATGATGTATGATGTGTGGCACAGTTGCAATGAAATACAGTCATTATAATTTGATGATTATTATATGCTGTTTACGAGCACACATTCCATATATGAATAGACTTTAAAATATCACATTAAAATAACCACAAAGTTGGACACTTACAGAAGATAATGTCAACTTCCATGGGAAGTCTCTAAAAAGTACGAGTAAAGAATCAGAATATGGAATCAGTCAGATTTTACAAGCTGAATTCGTATTTTGATTAAAGTTTGCCTTGCTAGCGGCAAATACACTTGAATTTTGATATCAATATTCGATGCGAGAAATCTGTCAATTGTATTTTTTGCATATTTTCCAACTACAACTTGGATTTTTCAGCTTGAACTTGAATAATAAATGTGTGCATTTTTCGGGGATTCCCCTGGTGAAATGAACTTGCAATTGGAAATGTGTCACTTGGGCATGCCTAGAAAGAAAACTTTCGAGTCTGTTCCTGTTCCCGTTGTTGTTGTTGTTGTTTGTATTTGGAAAACTTTGCGACTTTGTCTGTTGTGTAAAACTTGTGTGGCTCCCTCCTCCCTCCCCTCGCCTTACCCGAAGACCTATCCCCAGTTGACGATCATTTTTTAATGAGCCAAAGAGCTGCAAGCGCCTTACAGATTATTGCAACAAGCCCAACAAATGATTAACAAAGACACACGACACAGCACGCAGCACGCAGCACGCAGGACGCAGGACACCCACATGAAGCGTTGCTGACGACACTTTGGGGCTGGCAAAAAGTTCTCAACAAAATTCTATTGCCTCATTCCCCCTGCCGCCACCCCCTCCTCCACCAGCTATCTCCCTTTTTTCCGCGGTGTCTGTTAAATATTTTATGTACATCTCTTGGGCATTTTGCAAACATTTTTACATGCTGTTTGCTGCTGGTTTGCTGCTGGTTTGCTGCCTGTTTGCCGCTTATTTTTTGTTGCGCGGAATCACAAGTTGTGCCAGCTCATGATGATGGCATGCGAATTGGCATTGCCCGTGGAATAATCCAACCAACCGAAAAAGTGCTACCTACTCAAGTGCTCCAAGCTCCAAGGAGTTGGAGCGTAACCAAAGTGTCGTCCGCATGCTCGCGACCAGCCTCGTCGTCCTTGTGGCTTTCGCTGCTCAAGTGCTGCAAATCTCTTGATGAAATAAAAAACCCCACAACATTTGTCTGCCAACAAAAACAAAAATAAATACAAATAAAACAAGCAGCGAAAGGTGTTTGTCTATTTGCACTTTGAATACTCTTGCGAATAACTGAAATATGGAAATCTGTTTTTATTTTTTATCAGCACCCATCTTGCAGGAGATCGTCGCTATATATATTTTAAATATATCTTTCTCTTTACTTTATTCACTGATTCAGGAAGAGATTTATTTGTGAATCTCTGACGAAAAGTCGCAGTATAAAATATAAAAAAACATTTGACCAGCAACCAGAGAAAGACTTTTTTTACATACAACATAAAGAGAGAATAATAAACAATAGCTTTATATAATATTTTAATATCGTCATAACATGTAACTCGATTTCTGATTGAGCAATGCAAAAAATTAAACTAAAAAAAGACTAGCTGGACTTGTTTTAAAGCCACTTAACTTATGCTTTATGTATTATACTAAATTATAGTATTATCATAGCATATAGAATCCCAAGAATTTGTTCAACTGATCAGTTCTATATACAACTACTTAACTACATATAACACATATATACTTTAACATACGTAAGCAAAATAAGAAGCAGAAAAATAACCCATGCAAAAATTGTTGTAACCCTTGCGGCAAGTGTATCCAAAAATGGCAAGCAAATGTCAAGCAGCAGCCACAAATACACAACACGCGGGGCGCTCTTCAGTTGTGCATGTTTGTCGGGGATTACGGCCTTTAAGACACACACACACACACACACACACTCACACACAGACCCACAACAACCCCACCCACTTGAGACCCAGCCTCCACCTCCTCCACTTGCTCCCCCCCTTGTACCAATCGCAGACGCTACTCGACGCTTGGCTGTGAATTTTTATTGCATTATTTTCCATGAATTTCTAGTAATATGTGAAAATTTTATAGCGCCTCGCATATGTGTCTGTCTTTATATCTGTCTGACGGTTTGTCTCTTCGGGTTACTCTGACTCAGCACGCACAGGTGATTGGGGGATTGTGGGATTTCGAGAGGGAGGAGCGGGGAGCGGGGAGCGGGGAGCAGACTTACATGAATCCTGCTAATTTATTCGATTCACAGCAATAAATGTGAGCTAAAGAAAGCCGCTTGTCACGGCTTATATCACTGATCAATGTTAATTGTTATGAGTGGGCGCAAGAAAAGACAATATACTGTTTTTTTTTTTGGAGTGTAGAGAGGCGAGAGAAGCTCTCCCAACTCAGGTAAATAGAGTAGACTTCAAGCTGTATAACAGGGACTGCTGCAGAAGCTGCAAGGAGAAGGAAGTAAAAAGATCTCCAGAACAGTTCTCGGAACTAGCCAAGAAGCGATAAGCCACCCTGGGAAGCCCCCTTATTAGCCAACTCAGTTAGTAAATTTAGGAACAAGTTAAGCAAGAAGATGTTGTTGCCTAGACACACATGGAAGCACTCAATCCAAAGAAATATTACAAAATATGTTAGACTTTTACAAGAACTGACTTAAATAAAAATAAATAATTAAATACACAACTAATTAGCCTTATTTAAAATGTATTTACAGCATTAATTTTGTTAACTGAAATATCCGAAAATGTTTTTGGTGCCTTACATCTGTAAAAATGTAAATTTAAAAACGCTTTAAATGCCGCTTTGTACAAATGATTAAGCCACAATTAAAGCGTTTAAGGGCGCACAATGCGCTGAATAAATTAATAAAAATCGTTTAAATGTGTTGATTGTTTCAGTCAACCAACTACATGTCCAATAGCCATGTATCCGTCGCCAGCCTCGCCTCGCCGGCACAACTGGTCGCCAAGCATGCAAAATTGATGAAGCTGCACGGCTGACGCAACGGCAAATAAACTGCCAGCTTGGAGAGCCAACTGGAGAGGGTGGCTCTGGGTGGGCTGGCCTGAGCTGGTGGGTCACTCAATTGCACAGGTGTTTTTTTTGTTTTTGAAAACTGGACACGGCAGCAGCTGAAGCAGCTTGAGCAACAAATGTTGTTTGTGCGAATTGCGTGCGTTTGCTGCGCGTTTTGCGTCGATTTGGAGGAAAGGTTTGCTTTTCATGAGCCGCGCATTATCATCAAGTCAAACAGCAAATGTAAACTCATTTTTTGTTGCTGTGCCGTTGCTGTGCTGGCATCACTAAATATTTAATAAGTTTCGATTTCATTCGGCTTGGGAGAGACCAGCCCAGCAATGCCATTGGAATTTTTATGCATTCGAACGCATTTAAAATGCAGCTCAATGGCCAAAAAGAGCGAGAGGCGCAGAGAGATGGGCAACATCCGTTTAAGCCATTACGTGATTCGCAATCCGAGAGAAAGGGCAGAGGAAGTGAAGCGAGTGTGAGTTAGGCTGCTAAATCATACCATGCCACTAGCTACACACACACACACAGAGACACACACACAGTCGCCTTTCAATCCAATCAAATTGAATCCTTTTGCCTGGGCGCCCATTGATGACCTCGTTTTATGTGCGTCGTTGTCCGAAGTTATAAAATCAAATATGCGTCCACAAAACCTCAACGGTACCTCGAAGCGACAAGTTGCCACCGAAATAAAGAGGCATAAATAAAAAGAGAAGAAAAAAAAACAAAAAAAAACACAAGAAACGCCAGCGATTAAGCCTTGCAACACAGCACAAGGCGCAGTTTTGTCTGTTTTGCCTCGGACTCGAAACTTTGCTCGATGTGCGAACAATTCGCAGCTGGCTCAAGTTTTGAGGGCCGCACACAATTTATGCAACCGCTGTGCGGCAGCATCACGTGCCACCTATACGAATTGTTGCAGACCTCTTCTCTTTATTTATTTTTTTGTTATTTTTTTTTGAAACAGTCAAGAAATGCGAGGAAAAGAGCATATTTTGCAGCAAGCACATTAATTATTTAAGCTATCTACGAATGTGCGCAGCAACTGAAGACGTTTTCCATTTTTTGGCAATTTTTTTTGTAAAAAAAGAAAAGAAAAAGAAATCGAAACGCCAGACGCTGCTGGTAGGGGTAGACTTGGGTGTCTACCACTGTGGTCGTCTATATTAGTAATGAATGTAAATTAAATGTAAGCTTTCTTATTATTACATAATCATTTCGATTCAATTTTAATTTGAAATACAAATTTATTTCATTTGGTTTTTAATTTAAAATTTAATTTATTATTTATTTAATTGATGTATCAGAAATCACCAAGGAATAATGCTAACTGAAAGCTGGTCTATATTAGTG